CGCCATCAACTCTTTTGTCCTCATCGTCCTGCACAGCATCTGACGACGACAGGAGCATCGCCTTCTGAGACGCTTGCGCCAAATGCAAGATCAAGTCCACCTGATCTGCTCCCAGATTGGCCATATCGATGCCGGCCTGAAAAACGTCGTTACAGTACATACCATCGCTACAGTATAGTAAAGTATTGTCGGTCGATCGCCCCATGACCAGACAGTACCTCGGCCAACTGCTCGGCAGTGATCGTGATGACGTTGCCTTCGCCGTCGACCACTTGTGCTGCCCCCTCTTCTGCCTGTGAAAATGCGGTTGCCAGCTCACGAGCGTCCAGCACCTGCCCATCGTCCGTCTGAAAGATGATCGTCGTCTCGTCGGTCACCGTATCGCTCATCGCTGAAACGCTGGCGGTGTCTGCTATTCACTGAAAATATTGGTTTAAACTTACAATACAAATGATAACCATCAAACATCGGTAATAAAATCTTGCAATTACTGCAATAACTGCAATTTACCATTGTTTTTGACAGAAATTGCTCTGCAAAAATGGTGTCAGTATTTATATCTTGGAGAACAAGAAAAATTACAGATTACACGAGATTTCGTCAGCCGCGCAGTCCTGTCATGAACGTTGAAACAGTTGGAATAACAACTAACCGAAACACGGAGCAAGCAGATCTTGCTGCTGAATGAGTTTAAAAGCAGAAGGGCAAACCTGAACTAACGGACTTATAATTACTGCCCAGGAATTTCCAAAAGACATAGTCGTCAATTTATTACGTGATCTAACTTCTGAACCTTTCAATAGGATCAAAAGACATCAATGGATGATCCAGACGATATTTCATGGGTGGTGGAGAGAAAGTAAACTCTTTCAATAAACTCGATCGATGGTCGAATAGGGCGAATGAGTAACAGTACTGAAATTACTTGCAATATTTCGAATATCATTATTGCAGTTCTAGGGCAAGGGCACTGTTAAACTTACCGCCATCCAAGTGACGGTGACAAACTACAAGAACAAGATATTATGCAACTCTGCATATCGCGATCACTCCTCTGAACCAACGATACCATTCATCAGCACTAGACAAGGAGTGACCAACTTACTTAACCTAAGACATTCAGAAGAAGTGAAACAGGTGGTAAAAACTGACTCATGAAGAATTTTCTAATTCAGTGGTCGTAAGTACGAAAAGAAACTTTCCACAAACCCTACGTCGGTGTTCTGTTGTAGTTAGCATGCAACAGCGACAGATAAGCGATAATCTGACAGGAGGTAAATTGAGTGGAGCTTTCACTGGCCGTAAATGAAAACCAGATGGTCACAAACTTCTCTCCATCTCCAAGGCAAAATTAACCTAGGCGAAGGAGACTCGGATCGCAAACCCTGAAGGAAGTACATTCAGAGAGTCACTGCTCTTGCCAATCTCCAAAGCAGGCAAGGGAAAACGTCTTCGTCATACGGTCTACTCTCTAAAAGGATGGTAACGATGCCAAAGGCTACCGTGAAGGAATAGGAAACAACACCATGGCTAACTAAAGAATTTGGAGACAGAATGAGGTACTGCAGAAAAGACTATGCGGTGTTTGAACATCTGCAGTGGTAGCTTCTGAAACATCTGCAGTGATGAAAAACGTGAACTTTAGCGTGAAAGTGGCATTAGCGAACAAATCGATGCGAGAGGCAGAAAGTTGCTTCAATGTCCCCCTAAGAAACTAGGAGCAAGAGAGCGGTGCAGCACATCGTGAAATCTGGTCTTGCAGGAGTTATGCTCCATTTAACTGCTAATTTTTGTAACATTTTCAAAAAAATGGACAGCATGCTCCTAGTTGCCAGCATAATGGTAATAACACTACTCTCTTCAAAAATCTTATTTCAACCGTGGAAGAATTTACCTGTTTAAATTTGACCATCATTATTACAATTAATCAAATAAATAAAAAATTAACCTGTTTTCTGACCTTAAAAACATTTTCCCATGCAACTTTTCAATGTGCAACTTGAAGCACATTATGAACAAAGCCAATCGGAAGCGTGAAAATAGGGTATAACCATTTTTAGAACCGCGGGGAAGAGAATCAATCAGACTATATTAGCATTTTGTTAAAGGTTGATGAAACAGGTATGAAAGTATGATAAGAAATTAATTGTTCGTCATATTTTTTAGTTGTGCTTCGCGACTTACAATAACAAAAACTTCAAAGGACCAAATGCAAAATTTCGATAGAACAGATAGCCGTTCAGGTAAATTTCCTGATACTCTGAGGTGCAGGTGCAATATGTGCAACATATTATAGTCATATACCTCTCCCAGTGTTACATGATAACAAAACCAGTTCAAGCATGCGGAAGACGGTGAGGTTAAATAGGGTAATGTCAAATAGGTCAGAATATGGTTTAAACCTCTAAGCTTAAGTCAGAATTCCTGACGGCGCAAGAAGATAAGGCGGTAAACCTCCAGTTCTATGCTACATTTCGATACACTAACAAAATGCACGATATAGATAATGACGCTGAAGTAAAAGGCGGTTGAACACATCAGGTAAGGTACAAGAATAAGCATATGCTTATTTGATCATATGCGGTAGATGTGCAATATGGCATTCACATTTCACACAAAACATTATAGCAAACAATAAGAAAACGAAGGCAGATGTGAATCATCATCATTACGCTAATGCTGTGAACTGAGAGTATGTAGAATAAAACTGTGCTACGAATCCGGCTCTATAGGAATACGAGAAGAGGGTAAGTCTGAACGTTCTAAAAAGAATAACTTGTTGGATGTCGCGTAGAAATTACCGTCTTTGAAATATTTCGCAATCCTGCACTTCTCACGATTGGTCATGCCGACAGGACATGCATCTGATGGTAAACTAAACAAGGCAACGTCAAGTATGTCACGTAAAGTTACCTCGGAGAATGTCGAAACCTTCAAAAAGGCCTGACTTTCATAAAGTCTGAGAAAAATTTAGTTTTGAATGCAATATCATCTAGTTCTACTCCTGTACGATTCGTTACACTAATATAACCAGTTCCGGCACGCAGGAAGCAGCGAGACTGAAGCAGAAAAAGTTTAGGAAAAGTTAGATCAAGTTCTATTGGGTCCATATGGCTTAAACGTTAAGAAGCGTTCAACATCCAGTGATTTCAGTAGAAACAATTCGTCTGTGCAATATCTTCAAGTTCTGTGCCAAAGCGTCACAATGGACTATGCTACAATAACCAGTTTGTGGGACAAACAGCAAAGAAATAAGGTAAATAACTAAATGCAGCAGCTTCAGTTGCTTGACAACAGCGAAAAAAATAGACAAGTCCTACGAAAGGCAGTCTTTTGATATGATGAAGTCAAAAGGATACTCAGAAACCGTAGTTTTGATGATAATGATGATGAGGACGACCGAGGAGGGGAAGAGGATAGGGGATATGCAATGAATTTCCAATAAAATAAACCACAATTAAAATTACCCGTACAATTTTTCAGTCGTTCGTTTAGTAACAGAGTGGTAAAATTCATTATGCAGCCAAAAGGCATTTAGTTTTAGGATATTATAAAGTGTACGATACTTAAAAACCAAATCAACGTTGATTTTCTTTAGGGTAAATACAAAATAAAAGGCAGTGATTTTACAAAAATACACCTTAATTTATGCAATCCTGAAAGCAAACCTTTTGGCAAGCGATGATACGCTTTGTTATGCTAAAATCATTGAACAGGTTACAACAGCAAAGCAAGGATACAGCCATTAACTCAGTATAAAACCCTAGAAAAGTAGCCCGTTGAACTTTCAGCGAACTATCATGAAAGTCATCTGCCTTAAAGCTTTTCTATAGATTTGCCCTCAACAACCTTCATAAGTGCTGGACATTAAGCGAAAGAATGCGACATCGAATATGCATGGCAGAATAGAGGCTTCTTCGAAAAACTGCTAATGTGACAAGACTTGACAGAGTTTGGAAACTCACAATACTGTAGATCTTGAGTCGATCGTTTTTCGAATTCTGAAGTCACAACTGCAATGGTTCGTGACCAAGGAAACAATTTCAGAGAATCACAATGACAACAAGCATACAGAGACACACCACATGCCTGTAGTACACAAACACCTGAGCCATCGCAAAGGCTTCCTGAAGAAGCAAGTGCACAACCTGAAACAGCAGCAAGCGGGATTTGAACACGACTAAAAAAAATAAAGCCTCATGACACAGGTCCTCGAAGGTACTTTGGAAAAGCTCGCATTGCAATTGGAGAGGTACAGAAAATCTCTTTTACAACCTTTGGTCGCAGCGCATCAGCTTGTTGTCAAGCTAAAACAATTTTACAACAAGCACGGCAGTAATGATGAGCATTTGAAAGGCTTAGCAACTGAAATGGGGTCTAGAGCGGGAAACGAAATCCATTAAACTTGCAAGAGTATTCCATGTTTCTGGTGCACAGTCATCTAAAACTCGCTTATCATTATCTTGGTTTTAAAGTATACTTCTGCTGCATTGCAGCAAAAATAAATCTCGCTCAAACAGATCAAAGCGACGTTGAATTTCGTTGAACTAACTCAAGCCTCTTAATTCCAAATATTCGACCCCGCCCCCACACTTCTGGTTTTTGAAACTCGCTCAAACAAAATTCACTTAAGACAAATTTACAAATAGCATAGTAAACGATAAGAACATTTACATTCTATAACTGAAACACTGTTCAAATTTATAGAAGCACTGATGAAACGTTTCCGAAAGGAAAACTAAGAATTACATCGAAATATCCACTTTCAAATCAGCAGAAAATTAATGCAATGATTTATCGAAAGTAAAGTCAGGTACACCAAGCATGTTTGAATTTAGAATTTTGAAGACCAGATGACATTCTAGCAAAAATAAATGCATTAACCAGCTGAGTGATCTCCAAGAACAAAATGTCAAACCGACGCTACAGTACAACAGGAGAATAAATTAGTACCTTTGAATCAACCGCGGCAGGTACGATAAACATGGTGTCTGATCGCAATATGAAGCTACAATATATAATCTTTATCTTCCATGACCACTTCTTCTTTCGGGTCGTGGAGCGGACGCTTCAGGCAGTGCTTCCAACGTTCCCAATCCTGTGTCAGGGTATGAGTTTCGGCATAACACAGCTGCAGTCTGGAGCAGACTTCTTACATATATTTGCGCCAGGTTAATATTGCCGTTTCACGAGCGTTCTGGAGGTTAGCTTGGCAAGAAATAGTTGCTTCGCCTTCCTCTCTGGAGGCCTTTGCAACACATGTTCAAAGCATCGCAACTGTGACTTATCAATCTTAAAAAGCAGCGGCTGCATATCCATGCAATGGGGGATTTCTGTACTGTGGACAATGTGGAGAAGCGTAAGGTCAGCGACTCGTCTCAGAAAGCCA